TCAGTTGAGCAGCCAGGCAGCTATGAAGTGATAAATGCATCAGAAGCACTCAGATTTGTTGAAGCCTCAGAAACATTATAAAAGTCTGAAAAATAAAGAGCATTGGATGTTACTGCAAACGGCCAATTACACAGATTAAAGTTCACATGTGGCACCAGCATAACAAATAAAATGTTTGCTAGAAACCACTCAACCTGTGTGATTTTCTTTCATTAAACACTGGTGTAAACTGGACATAAGAAGGGATATCTTCTACATCATTATCATACAGACACAAAGCATCCCAATCAGACTATGGAGTAAATCTCAGTAACATTATTACATAGATTATTAGAATGTAGCAATTTAACTTACTCTTTCCCCTTCGCCTAATACGGTCAGCCAGAGAGGACAAAGATGGACCAGCATTTGTGCTCTGTTAGAGAGACAAACCACACATAATTTATCTTGTCTCTGATACTTGAAATTGCAAATTTTGTAACATTAACTTAGAGTAATCCAATTTCTAAATCAAGTATAATAGAGCACTTGGTTTTGTTCTGAGTATATCTCCTCCAGCCATACGAAGTGAGTACAGTATTAAAGAATGTGATTTTGCGTGTCTAAGAAACACTTAAAATGGGACAAGTGAACATTACACTCGAAATGCAATGATAGTGTTACCTTTGTTCGGGAAGACAGCAAAGGCAAAAATGAAAATCTTCCAGCAATAGCTGATCGAATCTGTCCATAAAGAAAAGGGCTCTATCATGTGTGTGTCATACATGCCAATGTATAATAAAGCTCAAATTTCCAATAGTATTCCAAATACAGAAATGTAAGTACTTACTCTGCTGTCTATAAGCGTCCCAAACACTAAAATGAAGCAGCCCTTAAAATAAGTTTTAAAAATTATTGTTAGTATTTATAGGATGCATATGAAAAAAAAGATGGATTTGTATAAATATTTCAGTTAATGACTTAGCTTCTAACTAAAAAAAGTTCCATTGTTTTTGCTGATTTTTGTAAAGTTCATACCATTTAAATGTAATGTCAGAAATCAATAATTGCAGGTATCAATTACTATTTCCACATACCTGAAAGGCATTGAAGATTGTAAATACAATCTGGATTCCAAGATTATCAGGTGCCACCATGGTCCCTATGCCAAGTCCCCAGGTGATGCCAAAGATGGGAGTCAAAACACCGACACACCTTGCGATGACCACCAGAGCATTCTTCTCCTCAGACTGACGGTTCTCACCAACACCCCTCATCAGTAGTTTAACCACAATCACGATTAGAATGAGCAGGTTCACAACGACGATGATCAAGGCCGGAATCACAAATGCCAGGAGGGCCTTAGTCTGGTACCAGTTCAACCAACATACGCCATCTTGCCCAAAGTAGCCATTTTTGGGGGCAGTGACTGCAATGGTGATTATGGCAATGATGAGTGGTGCCCCGTAGCCCACTGAGAAGGCAATGGCCATCATAGTGCTCTTTGACATGTGGGAGAAAACCATCATGGTACGGTAGAAGAGGAAGAGAGCTGAGATCAGCATCCAGAAGAACAAGGCAAGGTAAAAGAAGTGAATGAAGAAGGTTGCAGCACTGCATGCATTCTTTGGTGCGCTCTGGCCTGACACTGCTGCTCCAATTATGAACCATATGTCAGCAATCAGCAGAGACAGAGCAATGTTCACTATAGCGACGTGTCGCATGTGTGACGTGCTGTTCTTAGTGACAACGCTCCACACAAATGCTTCAATTATAAGGCATAAGACCAGGCATCCCATTGATATGCTGACTCCAATATACGTGATGTAATTCAAAAGAACCTCAATGGATTTAGGTACAAAAGGTGACATTAATATGGAAAAGGAAGTCAGGTGGTTACAGGAACAGGTGACCCTGTCATTTGTTTCAGATTGCAGTTCACATCCAGTAGAGTCCCAGCCTCCGATGCCTTCAAAGTTCCAAAAAACACACTGGCTGTTTACCTTTGTTTTGTTTGTTTTATCAAATGTCAGTGAAACATTATTAATGGTTTCGTTTACATAGGCTAACATGACAACTCCATTGATGGAGCTGTCCGTACTGTTTCCAGTGGTCCTGTTAGGTAAGACAAACTCAAGAGTCTTAAAGACGATTGTTGTGATACTTGTGTTGTTGGGAAGACCTTGATTTGGGATGAATATCTGAGATGAAATCATGGGTTCATTGAAAGGGCCTGTTAATGTTGTTTTGATTAACTGAATGTTTGTTGTATTAATTGTAAAGGAATTGCTTGATAGACTGTGTGTAATGTTTTCTATTGATTCCAGTAAAGCAGAGCTTGTGCTTTGGGATCTGTTGTTACTGTTCAGTCCTGTCCAGGATTGCTGAGTTTCAGGTGACACCAAAATTGATACGGTCTCCAAAACACCCTGAATGTATGGGTAAAATCCAATAATTATGTTAAATACATACATGTGTAAATACATATGTTAAGTACATGACTTTAAGATATAGGGTATACTACTTTTTTCCTGGATTTTTTATGTTATAGTTAAGCACAGTATTTTTTTTTATCAGGGTTTGAAATCCTATTTGTATTAAATAAACATCATTTCCTTCATATTTACACAACAGACCATATATGAAAGTAACATGGTGCTAATTATAAAATTAATAATGCGGCGTAGCCATTACAAACCAAATAACTAAGACAGTCTAAACTTACATCCCAATATGATGCCCCCCCCCTCCAAAAAAACATTGCTGTTTCAACATACCTGCATTGAAGTTTCGCTTATATTTTGTGAAACACTTGCAACTATGCCAAGTATGTTCACAATAGAGGAAATGGTGGCTGATGACTGTGTTATGTCTGATTTATAACTGGTAGTGGTTGTCTTAAGGTCATTCACAAATGATGATACACTAGCTGGACTCAGATTCTGTGGACAGGTAAACAAGAATTAAAAATGAACAGAAGAATTTAAGACAGATTTTTTTAGACAAATGTTCATACCCCTCTCCTGGAGCCGACACCTTATCGTGGTGGAGGGGTTTGCATGTTCCAATGATCCCAGGAGCTAAGTTGCCTGGGGCTTTATGCCACTGGTAGAGTCACCAAAGGCAAACAGGTCCTGGGTAAGGAACCAGACGAAGTGCGGCTCACAAGACCCCTTATGATGAGTTATAACATGGATCCACGATTTCCCTTGCCCGGATGTGGGTCACCGGGGCCCCCCCTGGAGCCAGGCCTGGGGATGGGCCTTGATGGCGAGCGCCTGGTGGCCAGGCCTGCACCCATGGGGCCTGGTTGGGCACAGCCCGAACAAGGCACGTGGGTCCCCCCTCCAATGGGCTCACCACCTGTAGGAGGGGCCATAGGGGTCGGGTGCAGTGCGAGTTGGACAGTGGCCGAAGGCGGGGACCTTGGCGGTCTGATCCTCGGCTGCAGAAGCTAGCTCTAGGGACATGGAATGTCACCTCTCTGGTGGGGAAGGAGCCTGAGCTGGTGCGCGAGGCAGTGAAGTTCCGACTAGATGTAGTTGGGCTCACCTCGACGCATGGCCTGAGCTCTGGAACCAGTCTCCTCGAAGGGGGTTGGACCCTCTTCCACTCTGGAGTTGCTCACGGGGAGAGGCGCCGAGCTGGTGTGGGCATACTTATTGCCCCCTGGCTGGGCGCCTGTACATTGGGGTTTACCGCGGTGGACGAGAGGGTAGCCTCCCTTCACCTTCGGGTGGGGGGATGGGTCCTGACTGTTGTTTGCGCTTATGCGCCAAACGGCAGTTCAGAATACCCACCCTTTTTGGAGTCCTTGGAAGGGGTGTTGGAGAGCGCTCCTCCCGGGGACTCTCTTGTTCTGCTGGGGGACTTCAATGCTCACGTGGGCAATGACAGTGAGACCTGGAGGGGCGTGATTGGGAGGAAAGCCCCCCCGATCGGAAGCCGAGTGGTGTTTTGTTATTGGACTTCTGTGCTCGTCACGGATTGTCCATAATGAGCACCATGTTCAAGCATAAAGGTGTCCATATGTGCACTTGGCACCAGGACACCCTAGGCCGCAGTTCGATGATCGACTTTGTGGTCGTGTCATCGGACTTGCGGCCGCATGTATTGGACACTCGGGTGAGGAGAGGGGCGGAGCTGTCAACCGATCACCACCTGGTGGTGAGTTGGCTCCGCTGGTGGGGGAGGAAGCCGGTCAGACCTGGTAAACCCAAGCGTATATTGCGGGTCTGCTGGGAACTTCTGGCGGAATCCCCTGTCAGGGGGAGTTTCAACTCCTACCTCCGGCAGAACTTTGCCCATGTCCCGGGGGAGGTGGGGGACATTGAGTCCGAATGGGCCATGTTCCGCGCCTCCATTGTCGAGGCGGCTGACCGGAGCTGTGGCAGTAAGGCGGTCGGTGCTTGTCGAGGTGGCAATCCCCGAACCCGCTGGTGGACACCGGCGGTGAGGGATGCCGTCAAGCTGAACATGGAGTCCTATCAGGCCATTTTGGCCTGTGGGACTCCGGAAGCAGCTGATAAGTATCGGCGGGCCAAGCGGAACGCGGCTTTGGCGGTCGCTGAGGCAAAAACTCGGGTATGGGAGGAGTTTAGCGAGGCCATGGAGAACGACTTCCGGATGGCTTCGAAGAGATCCTGGTCCACCATCCGGCGTCTCAGAGCGGGAAAGCAGTGCAGCATCAATACTGTTTATGGTGGGGATGGTGCACTGTTGACCTCAGCTTGGGATGTTGTGGGTCGATGGAGGGAATACTTCGAAGACCTCCTCAATCCCACCGACACGCCTTCCAATGAGGAAGCAGAGTCTGGGGACTTGGATGTGGACTCGCCTATCTCTGGGGCAGAGGTTGCTGAGGTGGTTAAAAAGCTCCTCAGTGGCCAGGCCTCGGGGGTGGATGAGATCCACCCGGAGTTCCTCAAGCCTCTGGATGTTGCGGGGCTGTCTTGGTTGACATGCATCTGCAGCATCGCATGGACATCGGGGGCGGTGCCTCTGGATTGGCAGACCGGGGTGGTGGTCCCCCTCTTCAAGAAGGGGGACCGGAGGGACACTCCTCAGCCTCCCTGGTAAGGTCTATTCGGGGGTGCTGGAGAGGAGGGTCCGTCGGATAGTCGATCCTCGGATTCAGGAGGAGCAGTGTGGTTTTCGCCCTGGCTGTGGAACAGTGGACCAGCTCTATATTCTCGGCAGGGTCCTTGAGGGTGCGTGGGAGTTTGCCCAACCAGTCTACATGTGCTTTGTATCATTCGACCGCGTCCCTCGGGGAGTCCTGTGGGAAGTGCTCCGGGAGTATGGGGTGCCGGGCTGCCTTATAAGGGCTGTTC